AAGTCCTGGTGGGCATCTAACTATGTAAGTAAAGTCTCTCGTCATTCTCACGACAGACATGATAATTAACTGTTCTTGAGAAAATACACACTTCACATTAACTACATTTTGGGGTGTAAGTGAACAAAAAGTCAAGAACCTTTTTTTTCCATGTGGACTTCTAGTAATATTCCCGGGTCTCTAAGTATTAAGATCGTGTGTGTTATGGTACATGTAAAAAAATTTTGGCTGTTGGAAATTAAAAAGAGTAACCTAACGGCACTGCCCAGGCAAAATGTTGTTAAAAATCTACCCAAAGTATTTCAGGATCCTCACCGGTGCTACACAGTTCGTGCACTGTGCTGAGATTCTTGGGACTCAAGGTTGAGTTAGAATTAGAACAGAGCACTTAGGACACACGCAGCTGTGATAGACAGACATTGAGACCAACCCTGTTGTGATATAAGAATATGTCTGCTATCTACAGGTGTCTGACTGGTGGGAGGAGTATGTCTATCTGAGAGGACGCTCACCAATCATGGTCAACAGCAACTATTATGGATTGGTTAGTGTTTGTTTGTTTTTTTTCACTTTTTCCCTCCTAACCTAATTTTACCTAACTCCTTTGTATCATAAGCAGCTGTTACTCTAAGTGAATAAATAACCAGGTCTTTTGTTACTGCCTGTGTGTTGCACTTGTTGGTTTGTTGTGGGGCAGGAGGGTATGTTTAGATCTGAAGTGGTTAAAATAATAACTCATAAAAACAGCATTAGTCAAGTAACAACTGAACAGTGTGGGCTGATGACAATGAGAGTCATTTTCAGTGTTTTGAGGAAATTATTTCAGTCAGATGCGACTATTGAAAGCATGGTAAGTTTATTCGTACTGAAAGAGGTAATAATTTTATAGGCTATCCTCCGAATAACAGTCCCAAATTATCGAGGCTGAAAATATACCCTAAATGAGCCTCAGTCACATGTAAATTGCGGATTTCCAGCGACTTAAATTGCAGTCTTCCGGCAACTGCCGCCACCGGTGTGGCGGGTAAATTCGCTTTACACTAGCGAATGCACTATGTGCAATCTATAGAGTGGAACGAAAACATTGAACATCCTAAGAAATTATATTTTTTCCAGCCTTGCTGGTTAAAGAAGAGGATTCTTATTACCTACTGTTAATAAATTGTATATTTAAATGTATTAAATTATACTTGCTTTTGTTCACTGACACAATCATTACAGTTAAAATTAAACTCCATAAAACTGTAGGAACATTAAAACTATAACATTTATTTTGAAAATTCTAGCTATTAATTGGAGTGGCTGTGGAGAAACAGTTCCTTATAATAGTTGACAAATTTGTCCACTTAGCTGTAGCTCAGGTTTCTTTGGTCAGCTTCTAGCTAAGCCTCAGGGACACATCAGGCAGACCGAATCTTCCAGTCCAGTCCAGACAATCGGGCATCTGCAGCTACGCTGGGATTTACTTTTGGAACTCCCATCTGGAACTAGAACAATAGAACAGTCCCTATATAAACAGTTTGGAAAGTTCTCACTAGAGACAATAGTGCCTCCAGTTCTCATCTAATGTTACACTACACACATATATATGGAGAAACAGGTGTTCACATTCTACTGGAAATATTTAGGAAACATCAATTTCATGAATACTCTCTAGCCCAATAGTTTACATCACACAATAAGAAAGAACATTCATCAGTGTAAATTGTTCTGATGTCTTTACTATAGTGAGGGGTTAACATGCTTACACAGTCACATTTCACAATATTCTCATTTCAACCACATTGGTTCACATCACAATGAATGAGAATCAGGGAGTGAGTTTACATGGGCCGGAAACTCATAACAGGTGCTTTGCAGCTTAAAAAATAAATGGGATTGACATATCTCCATCAATATAACTGGGTGCTGGGATAGATGTCAAAATATAACCATAGATGACAATGGGCTTTCCATCTGTCTCAGTATTAACATAAAATATACAACACTCACTCCAGTTTAAATCTAAATCCACATGTGTGATAACATCTTAGTCAGCAGAATTTAGAAGTTGTGAGGGGTGAAATATAATTATTAAAATTGTAAGGCCACCTGCTGTAGAACTGAAATATATTCCTAGTAATGGGGAAATATATATACAACAATAATAATTACAAGCATGGGCCATACACCTCTCTTCTTCTTCTCTGACAGTGTGAATATTTAATTCAGCCACTATGTGTTATTCACTTTCCAAGCTCTTAAACTAGTCTCAGAATTATCTGGACTAAATCTAAATTAAAGCAAGACAGTGATTTATCAAGCTAATATCACCATGAGGTAAAATCAACTTAGTAAGGATAAGTTATCATGAATATACACTTAATTCCTTTTTTAATTGTCTCACCATGCTGGAAACCGGAACCGGCCGAAATTTCACATGAAGACATAAATTCTCACGTAATTAATATAATTATAATAATTAAAAATACCAATGCACGTTTCTAGTATCAAATAAACATTATTTCAATCATCAAATAGATCATATGTTTGCATACATGTATATACTAGATTATAAACGTGGTTAGTTAGGATCAGGGAATTCACAAGGATTTCTTCCACCATGTGGGCATCAAATTTCAGAGTTCAGCAGATAAAATTAATTCAGAGGAATAGTAGCAATAGATCAAATTAAACTAATTTTATTAACTCACCTCTGGTAGGGAATTCAAACAGAAAAATGGACCACAGGCTGACTAACAACTTTAGTCTGAACTGGTCAATTTCTGATTTGAAAAGGAAATAGGAAGTCCTTAAAAAGGGAGGAAGTAACTCTTGAGTTACTCCTTGCACTACTCATCATCTCATTCGCCCTTCAACTTCTTAATTAATTAAGTATTATTAGGGCTAATAGAAAGCAATAAAGAAATGTTTACAAATTTGATAATAATATTACTAGTACACAGCAATACTTAAAAGGGCAGAATCACCTGTCCAGACCAGCTCGCCACAACCGGCAAGAGTATCTCCCATGCCGCTAAGCGCGACGTGGAGCGGCTTTAAACTAGATGGCTGGGACTCACAAGCAGCAGCTACTGCAGCTTCCTTCATTTTATTTGCTTGTGAGTTTCAGCCATCTAGTTTAGCCCTGCTCCACGCCGCACTTAGCAGCGTGGAGGATACTCTCAGCGGTGGCGGTAGTCACTCGAAGTCAGCAATTTACATGTGACTGAGGCCCTGTTAGGGTATATTTTCAGCTTGAATAATTTGGGACCATTATTCGGAGGATAGCCATATTCTATAGTGGTTTCCCTTGTGGCTTCTAGGAGTCTTAGTTTCAGGGAAACAGAATAGTCCCACTGCCTGCATAATAAGCATGTCCTAAAAGGCTTAAATTTATGGCTTGTCCCTCCAAAGTCAGAACACATCTACCTTAGCAGTAAGGAACCAACAGTCTGCATACAAGTAAGCAATATCTGTAAAAGATGCAGAATTTGAGTTCTAGAACAAGTGCAGAAGTGGGTGAACGACCAGAACTGTCTGCCAGAGTTTACAGCTGGTAAATGCTAAAAAAAAGAATAAGATATAGGGGTTTGTTTATGTTTGTCTTTAGCCACTTGTTAATGCTAACATGTTGATTGTTACCAAGTTGACTGTTATCACATTAATTTTCGTTTGTGTATATAGAATGTGAAAAATTGCATAAATTAAATGCTTGGAGAAAATATCTCCTTTTTTGTTTTTAAATACATTAGGACTGCCATTGTTAATTTATATTTAAAACACAGTACATGTCTCATTGTTTGGCTGGTCTGAGACAAATTTTAGAGCAGGTGCGTGGAAATAAATAGGCTAACAGACTGACAGAGAAACCTGGAAGACTACCACAGTCTTAAGCAGAGAAAACATAAGATGAAATCAAGAGGTTTATAGGAACCATTAATAGAACGCAGACACCCTCCCCATCTTTCCCTCCATTCTACATCTCCTTAAAAAGTAGTAAAAGGCAGTAAACAATTAAAAACTGGTTAAACAGTGCATAGACATGTCAAAACACTTATCTTTTCATGTTTTCAATGAACAGGAGAGGGATATCATTTACTAGACTCACGATTTAATTTGATAAATATGCTTGCGAGGAGTGATAATGTCTGCACATTTTTTATGGGATGTTCAAAACATTAAGTTACGCTTTCCCAAAGCCCCTGCACTGTCTGCTGCATTGATTCAAGCCCCTGCACTGTCTGCTGCATTGATTCAAGCCCCTGCACTGTCTGCTGCATTGTTTCAAGCCCCTGCACTGTCTGCTGCATTGATTCAAGCCCCTGCACTGTCTGCTGCATTGATTCAAGCCCCTGCACTGTCTGCTGCATTGATTCAAGCCCCTGCTACTGTCTGCTGCATTGATTCAAGCCCCTGTTACTGTCTGCTGCATTGATTCAAGCCCCTGTACTGTCTGCTGCATTGATTCAAGCCCCTGTTACTGTCTGCTGCATTGATTCAAGCCCCTGCACTGTCTGCTGCATTGATTCAAGCCTCTGCACTGTCTGCTGCATTGATTCAAGCCCCTGCACTGTCTGCTGCATTGATTCAAGCCACTGCACTGTCTGCTGCATTGATTCAAGCCCCTGTTACTGTCTGCTGCATTGATTCAAGCCCCTGCACTGTCTGCTGCATTGATTCAAGCCCCTGCACTGTCTGCTGCATTGATTCAAGCCCCTGCACTGTCTGCTGCATTGATTCAAGCCCCTGTTACTGTCTGCTGCATTGATTCAAGCCCCTGTTACTGTCTGCTGCATTGATTCAAGCCCCTGTACTGTCTGCTGCATTGATTCAAGCCCCTGTTACTGTCTGCTGCATTGATTCAAGCTCCTGCACTGTCTGCTGCATTGATTCAAGCCACTGTTACTGTCTGCTGCATTGATTCAAGCTCCTGCACTGTCTGCTGCATTGATTCAAGCCACTGCACTGTCTGCTGCATTGATTCTTACAATAATGTCATTGATGAACTCACTGTGCAGGACGCTGTGTTGATCAATCACACCCGACAGCAAGCAGCTCGAGCAGCCAATGTGGTCCATTCTACACTGATGTACAGAAGAGAACTGGAGAGAGAGCAAATCGAACCTGTGAGTCTTTACAACCAAAACACATTTTTTGACATGCATTTGTCTGTGATTTTAAAATGTATTACATACTTCTTTATACATATATCATCATCATCATCATCATCAGGTGACTTGCCGACTGGCGTGGGCGATCATGCCTCACCACAATCTGCGATCTCCTGCATCATGTATCAGTTCGTGTGCCGACACACCTCGATGCCATGCAACAAGACCGTCAAGCATCTTCTCTCGTTGTCTTCCTCTATCCCTCCTTCCACAGATCTTTCCAGTGGTCTCAACATGTTCTATTTTCCCTCTTCTCATAACATGGCCGAAAAATGATGACTGTCTCCTTCTGATGTCAGTGATAAGTTGTCTTCGGGCTCCCGCCTCTTTCAAAACCTTTTGGTTGCTCTTTTTGGCTGTCCAAGGTATTCTAAGCATTCTTCTGTAAAACCACATCTCTGAGGCCTCCAAAAATTATTTGGCCTGCCTACCGATTGTCCAGGATTCACAGCCATATGTTAAAAATGGATGTATGTAGCAAGCAAGAATTCTTTTTCTAACTCTCAATGACAAGGATATATTGCACAAGATGTTTTTCATTTGATAAAATGCAGTTTTTGCCTGTCCAATTCTGTTTCTTATTTCAGTTATGCATCTTCCATCTGATGTTATCCATGTACCCAGATACTTAAATTTCTGTACTTGTCTGAAAATAACACCATTGACTTTTATTACACATTTAGGAATAATTTGTTTCCTTGATACCACCATTACTTCTGTCTTCCCATTATTCAAACTGAGGCCCATTCTTCCACTTTCTAACACCACAATGTCTATCATTTCCTGTAATTCTTTCTGACTTGTTGCTATCAAGACTGTGTCATCAGCATAACGTAAATTGTTTATATTGTGCCCACCAACCACGATTCCGGGCATATCAATTAAAGATCTCATAATATATTCACTGTATATTGAAAACAAATCAGGTGAAAGTACACATCCTTGTCGTACGCCCCTCTTTATGCTTTGAAATGTACCTAAACAGTTGTTAATTCTTATAGCTGCTGTTTGCTGCTGCTAATACATATTCTTTATTATTCTTAGATCTTTCCCATCAATGTTTAATTTTTCTAACAGTTTGATTACTTCATGCTTCACACAGTCAAATGCTTTTGTATAGTCTATGAAGCATAAATACAAATCAGTCTTTACTTCTATAGCTCTTTCTGACAATGTCCTTAGGATGTTTAGGCATTGTTTGTACCTTTTCCTTCTACAAATCCACATTGTTCATCGCTGATTTCTGGTTTAATTTTGTTTCTTATTCTTCTCATAATTATTCTCAGTAAAATCTTAGTCATGTGACTCATAAGACTTATTGTGCGATGGTCTTCACATTTTAAAGTGCCTAGTTTCTTCGGCAGAGCTATAAATATGGATTTTAAAAGGTCATTTGGAATATACCAACTGTTATAAATATCATTTAAAAGTTTAGTTATTATTTCAATTCCAAAATTTCCCAGTGCTTCGATTTCTTCCAGTGAGATGTTGCCTGGCCCGGGTGCTTTTCCTTTCTTCATATGATGTATTGCATCCTCAACTTCTGCAGTCATTATTGGTGGACCATCATTGTTGGTCTGCAGTTCTACGTCTGGTCTATTATCATCACACAATTCCCCTATATACTCTGTCCATCTGTTAATTATATTACTCTGTCCATCTGTTAATTATATTACTCTGTCCCATTAATAAGTCACCATCCTTTGATTTCAAACATCCAGTGCTGTTACGTGTCATCTTTCCTGTTAACATATTTATCTGTTGGTACATGGAATGTGAGTCTTTCCCGTGATTTTCCCCAATCTCTGTACACATTTGATTCAGCCAGGCTTCTTTAGCCACTTTGCATTTGTTCACTATTTCTTTTTGTATTCTAGAGTATTCTTCTTTAGCAACATATATATATGTATCTGTTATACCTAAAACACACTTTTATAACTTCATACATATTATCATACTTCTGTAATATATATATCTTCTTCTCCATCAAATGAATCTGATCCTCCCTGCTTTCGTTCTTCTCCTCTTCATCGTCCCCCTCCTCCTCCTCCTCTTTTTTTCTTCTGTTTCCTCTTGGTCATCTTTTTAGTATCATCCTTGAGCTCCAGATGGGCAGTTCTTGTTATATCATGCTAGCACTTCTGTTCTACGAAGACACCAATAAGTGAATGGTTGTATTTTATTATGCAATGATTGTCATTCTAAATATTTTAAATTCCTTACAGTACTGTTGATGTTGAATAATGTCTGATTGATATATAAACTAGAGCAGAAGAGAGAGAGAGAGAGAGAGAGAGAGAGAGAGAGAGAGAGAGAGAGAGAGAGAGAGAGAGAGAGAGAGAGAGAGAGAGAGAGAGAGAGAGAGAGAGAGAGAGAGAAAGAGAGAGAGAAAGAGTTATGTTAAAAAAAGTAAATTTTATTAGCTTTGTAGTATCTTTAATCTCTTTGAAAACCACATCTTCATCATCATCATAAAACAGGTTCTTTCCATATAGTGACTCTCGGCTTTTACAAAAGAGACTGGGTGCTTCACCAGCTCTCATGCCTCATACATTTTTCTGCCCAAAGTATAATCTATATCTTGTCATACATTTTCCTGCCCAAAATATCTCCTATATCTTGTCATACATTTTCCTGCCCAAAGTATCTCCTATATCTTGTCATATATTTTCATGCCCAAAGTATCTCCTATATCCTGTCATACATTTTCCTGCCCAAAGTATCTCCTATATCCTGTCATACATTTACCTGCCCAAAGTTCCTTCTATATCCTGTGCCCGTCTTTCCTCTACCTTGCCCTCAATTACTGTTCTTTCCTAGCCACTGTGATGGTTGATATGGCTAAAGTATTTCAGTTTCAGTGGCAAGATGCTGTTTATGGGCCAGTTTTCTTCAATTGTTAGACGTTTTAAAATATTAGTGGTTTTTTTTCTCTTTCTTTCTTTAGTTGATGGTATTCTGAAAATCTTTCGGTAGCATTTCAGCTCAAAAGCCTCTACTCTCTTCCTCAGTGATTGCGAGATAGTCCATATCTCACATCTGTAGGCTATGGATATGAAGCATGTTTGGGAGATAGTCCATATCTCACATCTGTAGGTTGCTATGGATATGAAGCATGTTTGGGAGATAGTCCATATCTCACATCTGTAGGCTATGGATATGAAGCATGTTTGGGAGATAGTCCATATCTCACATTTGTAGGTTGCTATGGATATGAAGCATGTTTGGGAGATAGTCCATATCTCACATCTGTAGGCTATGGATATGAAGCATGTTTGGGAGATAGTCCATATCTCACATCTGTAGGTTGCTATGGATATGAAGCATGTTTGGGAGATAGTCCATATCTCACATCTGTAGGCTATGGATATGAAGCATGTTTGGGAGATAGTCCATATCTCACATCTGTAGGCTATGGATATGAAGCATGTTTGGGAGATAGTCCATATCTCACATCTGTAGGCTATGGATATGAAGCATGTTTGGGAGATAGTCCATATCTCACATCTGTAGGCTGCTACAGATATGAAGCATATTTGGGAGATAGTCCATATCTCACATCTGTAGGCTATGGATATGAACTATGCTCTGTAAATATTTACTTTAATTTGTTTGAAAACCGTAAAGGTTTCAGTCAATGTTTCTAAATATAATTTGGAATATTAAGGTGAATAGTCAAGGATAAATAGAAAAATGTCTGCTGTATGATGTCTGAACTGAGGTAAATAACTGAAATAACACATGGTTAAATATAAGCAATTGTATCTGTTTATATGTTCTTGCCACAAGTCATATGTTGTGCTCATCACTCACAGATACTCATCAACAAAGCTGTCCCTTTGTGTTCTGCTCAGTATGAGCGACAGTTCAACACTACCCGTATTCCTGGTGTTGAAACAGGTAAGGAAATGTACATTTTAATTTGTAGATATTTACTGTAGAAGTTGATATTTCAAGTTGTTATTTAAATAGTTACAGAAACCGTCAGTAGATGAAATCATTGCTGCATTGACTAGACTGGTGGCTACAGAGGAGGCCCTGACACTAGCCAAATTACTGCCCTGTAGTGAAACTTTGTCAAGTAATTCTATTCTATTTATTGAGGTCAACATTCAAGACTTTGTAATACATTTTTCATGGAAAGAGTGAGCGGAGCACCTTTGGGATGGCTACTGCATTACAAAGCTGAGCATGCGTGTGAAAGCCCAGAATGCATTGGCTTTAATTTTGATAACATAACCTAAACTAGGAACATATGAAATAGAAACAAATGAAATCATCACACTTGGAACCTAAACTAGGAACATATGAAATAGAAACAAATGAAATCATCACACTTGGAACCTAAACTAGGAACATATGAAATAGAAACAAATGAAATCATCACACTTGGAACCTAAACAGCTAAAGAAACACTGAGTAGATTAATACAATAAATGTACTGGACTGAAGATGTTAAGAAAAGTTTATTCCATGTACATGTATTACAGTACATATATAACTTCTTAAATGTTCTTAACAATGGATCTAGTGATGAACCGTTTTCAATGATTCCAAACATTTCACAGTTAAGTATGAAGATGTCTAAAACACTGTGATTGCAATACATCTTGGCAGGGTGCTATTTAATGATTTATGGAAAATCTTTTCATAAATAATTTTTTTTTTTTCTATGAAAGAAAAAAAGGTCCTTCTGTTTATAAATGAGATGCACTATGAAAATCTAGAATGTCTTTTCATACACTGGTAATTGTGTACTCATTTTGGTAAACTTTGTGCAAAACCTAATGCAGTGTAACTGTCATACGTGTCAAGTGTTTATGATAGATTCTAATGTTGATCTACCAGTTTTAAGTAAAATGACTAATGTGAAAATAATAAAAACTCCTGACACTTTACTTTAGATATTGACATGTGGTGACTGTCAAAATATTTTTGTTGCAAAGCAAAACCCAGCATTTCTTTGGCTGTTTTGAGATTTCATTAGGCAATTTTAGGTTTAGTAGTTTGCCATTAGTTTCTGAATGGTCCACTCTCAAATAGCCCTGTCATTGTGTTGAAACCAAACAGTGTGTGGTTTGCTGCCAGTTCGCCTGTAGCTGGGATCAAACCTAGCACTCCAGAATTATGAAGCATGTCAACAATGCCTAAGCTAGGGATGCTGTGTGTCTAAATAGCCGTTTAATTTACTTTACATGCAACACTCATGACATTATCATTTTAATTCATTATGTGACATTTTTCTCAAATTGCATTTAGATATGAAAATGTCATCTAAAATACAAGTTCTATAAACACTGATACTTACTACTCTCTTCAACAACTGAATCTGCCTGCCTTTACATATATTACTGTATTAACTCTTTCTGTCCCATGAGGTTTGGACAGAAATCATTTTTTTTTTCATCCATGAAAAGCTAACCACTTGGTGGGTTGTAAAAGTGATACATGAGTGAAAGATACCCCTGTGGTTGCCAGATTTATTTAACTAACCAAAACTTAAATTTAAGATGACACTTGATATGATGTTTGAGACATGCAGGGAATAGTCAATAACAACATGATGTGTTGTTTGGGACTGAAAGAGTTAATGTCCAAACTGTGAACTTCTCTACAGATAAGCTGGTTCATCTTAAGGACAGCAACCACATCACTGTTTACCACAAGGGCCGCTACTTCAAAGTATCTTTCAGGCAGAAAAATAGACTACTCAAGCCATGTGAACTTGAAATGTGAGTTCAGTTTCTGTTTCACTAAAACAATTTTCTGACTTCTAGCACAGATAATATTTGCAACAGTGCTGTCTTATAAGACAGACACTAATTTACAAAGAGAACTGATTACCCACATCAGAAGAGGCAATCCATATTTATTGAGTACATTGTGGGAAAAAAAAAAGCATGACATAAAAACATGAAAGCCAGAGAGGAAGAGAGGTGGGGGAGACTAAGAAAGTTGACTGTTTGTGGGGGAGACTAAGAAAGTTGACTGTTTGTGGGGGAGACTAAGAAAGTTGACTGTGTTGGTGGGGGAGACTAAGAAAGTTGACTGTTTGTGGGGGAGACTAAGAAAGTTGACTGTTTGTGGGGGAGACTAAGAAAGTTGACTGTGTTGGTTGGGGAGACTAAGAAAGTTGACTGTGTTGGTTGGGGAGACTAAGAAAGTTAACTGTTTGTGGTGGAGACTAAGAAAGTTGACTGTGTTGGTGGGGGAGACTACGAAAGTTGACTGTTTGTGGGAGAGACTAAGAAAGTTGACTTTGTGGGGGAGACTAAGAAAGTTGACTGTTTGTGGGGGAGACTAAGAAAGTTGACTGTGTTGGTTGGGGAGACTAAGAAAGTTGACTGTTTGTGGGGGAGACTAAGAAAGTTGACTGTTTGTGGGGGAGACTAAGAAAGTTGACTGTTTGTGGGGGAGACTAAGAAAGTTGACTGTTTGTGGGGGAGACTAAGAAAGTTGACTGTTTGTGGGGGAGACTAAGAAAGTTGACTGTTTGTGGGGGAGACTAAGAAAGTTGACTGTGTTGGTGGGGGAGACTAAGAAAGTTAACTGTGTTGGTGGGGGAGACTAAGAAAGTTAACTGTTTGTGGGGGATACTAAGAAAGTTGACTGTTTGTGGGGGAGACTAAGAAAGTTGACTGTTTGTGGGGGAGACTAAGAAAGTTGACTGTTTGTGGGGAAGACTAAGAAAGTTGACTGTTTGTGGGGGAGACTAAGAAAGTTGACTGTGTTGGTTGGGGAGACTAAGAAAGTTGACTGTGTTGGTTGGGGAGACTAAGAAAGTTGACTGTGTTGGTGGGGGAGACTAAGGAAGTTAACTGTTTGTGGGGGAGACTAAGAAAGTTGACTGTGTTGGTGGGGGAGACTACGAAAGTTGACTGTTTGTGGGAGAGACTAAGAAAGTTGACTTTGTGGGGGAGACTAAGAAAGTTGACTGTTTGTGGGGGAGACTAAGAAAGTTGACTGTGTTGGTGGGGGAGACTAAGAAAGTTGACTGTTTGTGGGGGGAGACTAAGAAAGTTGACTGTTTGTGGGGGAGACTAAGAAAGTTGACTGTTTGTGGGGAAGACTAAGAAAGTTGACTGTTTGTGGGGGAGACTAAGAAAGTTGACTGTGTTGGTGGGGGAGACTAAGAAAGTTGACTGTGTTGGTGGGGGAGACTAAGAAAGTTAACTGTTTGTGGGGGAGACTAAGAAAGTTGACTGTGTTGGTGGGGGAGACTAAGAAAGTTGACTGTTTGTGGGGGAGACTAAGAAAGTTGACTGTGTTTGTGGGGGAGACTAAGAAAGTTGACTGTGTTTGTGGGGGAACTAAGAAAGTTGACTGTGTTTGTGGGGGAACTAAGAAAGTTGACTGTGTTTGTGGGGGAACTAAGAAAGTTGACTGTGTTTGTGGGGGAACTAAGAAAGTTGACTGTGTTTATCTTCAAATTATTGAAGAGCATTTGTATCAGTAGTAATTGCCAGCTCACAATATAGAAGGCTGTGGGCAGACCTGATGATGACGCATGGACTAAAAAAAAAAGTTAAAAAAAGGTTTCATTTTGAGATCAATTTCATTGCACTGGGTTTTATCCCATAGGACCTGTATCTGTTTTCATTATGGATAGCTGCCTGCCAAGAGTGTTGCACAAGCATAAACTCCATAGCATGGCTCCAGCATTGATAGCATGGCTCCAGCATTGATAGCATGGCTCCAGCATTGATAGCATGGCTCCAGCATTGATAGCATGGCTCCAGCATTGATAGCATGGCTCCAGCATTGATAGCATGGCTCCAGCATTGATAGCATGGCTCCAGCATTGATAGCATGGCTCCAGCATTGATAGCATGGCTCCAGCATTGATATATTCACATCTTTTTTTTGTTTGTTTAAACTGCTTGTAAACTAAATGGTACAGTCCATGAAATGAAACCTCAACCTTCCCTGCATGGGGCAAACTGCTACATCACTTAGCCACAGAAACTCAGCCACAGAAACTCTCAGCCTGTGTAAAGAAGGAGAATAAAAACCATCTCTACATAAGACTGTTAGAAGAAACTGCAGAGAATGCACAGATGCATTATTCACACTGAGGCAAGTGTGTGAGAAAACCAACCAATGTTTTTGAGAATTACGTGGTACTACAATGATTGCTAGAGAACATCATAGTCACGTACCACACAAGCCAAAGTGCAGTAAGAACACAAGAAGACATTTAGGATATCTTCAGTCAACACAGGTGTGAGACAGGAATGTGTGCTCTCCCCACTTTTATTCAACATTTATGTAGACAGAATATCTAAAGAAGCAAGTTCTAGTGCAGACAACATAGAACGTTATAATCATGAGGAAGTACACATAAGACAAAGTAATTGAAAACTCAGCATGCACTAAATACAACATGAAGATCAAGCAAAAACAACCGAAACAATGCAAGTTGTTAGTAGAACCCCTGCCCCACTACACATACAGCTGAATGGTTCTGGTCTGAATCAAGGAATTTAAATATCTAGGAAGTATGATCACTGAAGTTGGTAGAATTGACAGAAATAGAAATGTCAGAAAGCAAGTGCACTTATATACCAAATATCACCATTATTAAGATACCAAAACATAACTATGAGTGCAAAGAGACAGATTATAAACAGCATTATTCATTCCAACATAAGCTAGCGGTGCCAAACATGGACACTGTCTACAGCCTATGTACGCTAAATGACCACTTGCTTGAGAAAAGCCGCCAACCTAACCATCCGAGATCGAGTGAATGATAATACTATCAGACAATCTGGGGACACCTTGTACTAGATTCATTGAGAAACAGCAAATCAAGTGGTTTGGTCATTTCTTAAGAATGCAGCAAGATCAAATACCATCGCAAGCACTACATCTCAGAAGATCAGCTAGCAAACCAAGAGGATGGCCACAAAATATGGATCGACAACATAAAAAACACTCTCTGACTTGACGGCATGATAGTAGCCAGCAGCAGCCAGCGTTCACTGGATCTCAAATTATTCCTTCCCACAACGCTTAAGTGGTTTATGATGATGATGATGTTGAGAAAAAACTGCCTTCCTGTAAAGAACTGTTATATAACAGAATTCCCCTTGTGAGTTTCTGTGGTTCCATTCTGGAAGAAAAATAATCACCCATTGACTGCCTCCTTAACAGGTATGTTGTAACAGGTAACTTATCAGGGTTTTCTGAAATTACAGGTGTTGGGCTGAAAGTGCTGATATTGCAGCTTAGCTGTGAACTACAAAATCAATGTGGCAAAAGCTCTTCTAAGGGTGAACACAAAAGAAAAAGAAATATAACAGAATGAGCTAGTTATGTTACTTACTTTCACACCGTCTGCCTCTTTCTACAGAATATTCCAGAAGATTATTGATGATGACAGTCCACCAGCAGATGGCGAGGAGCACCTGGCAGCTTTAACAGCTGGCGACAGAGTTCCTTGGGCCAAAGCTCGCAATGAGTTTTTCAGTAAAGGCAAAAATAAAATCTCTCTAAATGCTATAGAGAAAGTAAGTTTTTGTTTTTTTAAATTTTTGTTTAATGAAAATATTCTACTAGACTATTCTTATGTTTCACATTTGTTACTGCATCACAGTACTCTTGACCCATTAGGGTCATGTAGGTGTATCGATGGAAGCGCTAGTACACAAAATCCACCATCTTTCTCTGTCTTGGGCTTGATGAATAAGTCTTGTTACTGTCTACAGATATTTAAAACACAGGACCTTTCCCATGGCATAGGCACATCAAGCATAGGACACTGGCCTTATTGTTTCATAGGTGGCACTAGGTGCCTGATGTGGATAGTATCATGCTGGCTGACTTTACTTCCCAGGACCTTTCCCATGGCATAGGCACATCAAGCATAGGACACTGGCCTTATTGTTTCATAGGTGGCACTAGGTGTCTGATGTGGACAGTATCAAGCTGGCTGACTTATTTTACTTCCTAGGATATTTCTTGCTTCCCTATTAAGGTTGAAAGCCCCGTTATAAAAATGTGCCTTGTTGCAGAATTGGACCCAAGGCCTTCAAACTGCCAGACAAGCATTCAGCCAAAGTGCTTCTGAGGTTCCCAAGAATCCAAAAAGTAACCCCTATTTTAAAGTCTGTGCCAGTGAATCAGTTAAATTGTCACGTAAATTTCAAATGATTAATTCTGAAATGTTAGCTAAGGTAATCTAGTTAATTTCTTGCATGAACTGTTTTAATGTAGTTTAATATGCCATTTTTTCAAAGATTGTAACAGAATATTGTAAAATGACTGTTTCAGGCTGCCTTCTGTGTTGTTCTAGACACACAACCACAGAAATATGATCCAGTGAGTCCAGCATAATTTCTTCTTTAATGTTCAACTTCTGTTTTCTATGTAATCTATGTTTTACTTATCAGTAATCTATGTTTAACTTATTAGTATTCTATGTTTAACTTATCAGTAATCTATGTTTAACTTATCAGTATTCTATGTTTAACTTATTAGTAGTCTTTAACATATCGGTATTCTATAAGAACAATCATCAGTACAATTTTACATTTGGTTTTTAGGTTAGTGAATGCGCTTCTCAATTCTCAAAATACTAGACTTAAAATCAAAGACCATTTACCATTAGGCAGTAATATGAGAGTTGCACCGTGAAAGTCACTGAGGCCTCACCATTCAGTATTCCTAAAGATAGCAGGATGGACAAATCCACTGAAGCCAATCTGAAACCAGATCGTGGAGATGGCATACACATTTTAAAACAATGTTTTCCCATTGTAAGTTTAAGTAATGCAGACACAAACAATACATTGCACAGTTTATTGCCTGGCATATTTGGCTGTGTTTAGATCTACAGCAACTCGACAGTGTAGTTTATGCATTTCAGGAAAAAAAAGATTCATTTTGTGCTTAATTATGTGTTGATTAAACTCTGTAGTAATGCACCTGACGAGATACAATGAAATATGCCAGGTAGTCATTTGTGTAATGTATTGTTAGTGTCCACATTATTTAAATACACACTTTTGTTTTTAGTTATTTTACTTTTTTTTTGTATGTGATCAAATATTGAACGAACAAACATTAGTCTACTTGATACCAATGTGCCACGTGTTTTGATAACTTCAGATTCACATGTACTTATAAACCTGTTCTGTACAAGGTTTGTTGTACTTATAAACCTGTTCTGTACAAGGTTTGTTGTACTTATAAACCTGTTCTGTACAAGGTTTGGTGTACTTATAAACCTGTTCTGTACAAGGTTTGTTGTACTTATAAACATGTTCTGTACAAGGTTTGTAGTACTTATAAACCTGTTCTGTACAAGGTTTGTCACTTAAAATAATAAATGTACAGGCCAGTGGGTGTGATAACATGAACCGTGTGGGGCAGGATGGATTGTTATTAATGTACTAGAGACGTGGTTCTCAACCTTCCTAATACCGGGACTCTTTAATACAGTTCCTCATGTTGTGGGGACTCTTTAATACAGTTTCTCATGTTGTGGGGACTCTTTAATGCAGTTCCTCATGTTGTGGGGACCCTTGAATACAGTTCCTCATGTTGTGGGGACCCTTTAATACAGTTCCTCATGTTGTGGCGACCCTTTAATACAGTTCCCCATGTTGTGGGGACTCTTTAATACAGTTCCTCATGTTGTGAGGACCCTTGAATACAGTTCCTCATGTTGTGGGGACCCTTGAATACAGTTCCTCGTGTTGTGGGGACCCTTTAATACAGTTCCTCATGTTGTGGCGACCCTTTAATACAGTTCCTTATGTTGTGGGGACTCTTTAATACAGTTCCTCATGTTGTGGGGACTCTTGAATACAGTTTCTCATGTTGTGAGGACCCTTTAATACAGTTCCTCATGTTGTGGGGACCCTTTAATACAGTTCCTCATGTTGTGGGGACTCTTTAATACAGTTCCCCATGTTGTGGGGACTCTTTAATACAGTTCCTCGTGTTGTGGGGACTCTTGAATACAGTTCCTCATGTTGTGGGGACCCCCAGCTATACAATTATTTTCATAGCTACTTCATAACTTAAATGAATTTGTTTTTTCATGGTCTTTGGTGACCCCTGTGAAAAAGTTGGTCAACCTACGAAAGGGTCGCCACCCACTGGTTGAGAATTGCTGTTTTAAAGCATGATAAATTGTACTAATGACTAGAGCAGAGCAGGTTAATATTCAATCAGAGATGATAGATGCCTGTTGGAAACAGTTATTCAGTGAGTACAGGCATGCATAGACTGGTTGCCGGGCAAGACAAGAGGTTATACCAGTCGACCCCAACTATGTGCAGGGGACTTGGAGATGCCGAGATGGCTGCAGCATCGGAGGATGGAGCAAGAATGGGTTGGATTGAAATTCTGGGATGTTGATAACAGACAACATGTAACAAGGTTTTCTTTTGGCTCGGTACTATCGATATTGCAACCCTTTGGCCTAGATTCTATGATAGATACCATAAATTTTAGAAATATGTGGCTTTTTTGCTTACCCCTGAGCATGAACTCAGACCACAAGGAGTTTGTCACCCAGTAGCAGCGTAGCGTGTTTAACCAACTTAGCTAGCGTGCCGGGCAAGTTATTACTTGCCAAAATAACAATGTTTGGACAGAAAAAAATACAGTGTTAAGAATTATTTATTGGGATCTAATTTTCAATTACCTCATTTCATAAAATTTCTTGAAGTAATCTTCCATTCTGAAACTAAAAAATTAAAGCAACACAACTGCAGTATTTAACAATTTCCTGTAAACTACAACCCTAGTAACATGATATTATGCTGAAATTGATATGCTCATCTACCCATCAGCCATATTTGGAAGATTTATATACAATATTTAACAACAAACAAAGAAGCTTATCAGCATTTTCACATGGCAAGACATGTTGCAAAAAAAAATAAAATAAACAATTAATACCTGATTTTGTAATGCTGAAAGTAACCATGTGTTTGCAGACATATGTGGAAGCATTTGAGCACCCCCCCCCCCCCCCCAAGCCCCCCACCCCACACACACACGTACAGAGAGAGACAGTCTCAAAAGAAGCAAAATATAAATTATGATACTATGTCATTATGCGGTCAATACATAAATGAAACACATAACCAAGGTGTTTCCTTCAAACCTGAAGTGCCATTAAATTGAGGCAGGGAAGCTGGTGAGAGACTGTTTCTTTCAGGCAGACCGTAATGGCAGCTGTGTTCTGCAAAGGACCTGCTACAAGATGATGATGATGTCATTGAATTGTCTGTCATTCATGCCCCTTCCTGCCAAATGTTACAGATATACTGCATATGTTTTGTACATTTTTGTTTCTCACTGAGTTGACAAAATATAACTACATTTGGTAATTTTGTTTTCACAGGATGATCCTTCCAAACTGGATGCCTATGGCAAAGCAATGCTGCATGGACAAGGCTACGACCGATGGTTTGACAAGAGTTTTAACATTGTGGTTTGCTCTAATGGAACAGTAAGTCCTTTTCAATGTCATCCATTTTCTGTTTGCTGGCTTTCTGTTTAATACCGATGCTTCTCTGCTAGTGTGCCTGATTGATGAATTCTCTTGCTTTCTTGTACTGAGTGCAACAAATCCATGGATGATTTGTCCACTCAGATGTTGATGAAACTGCTGGTCCTGCAGAGATCATATCAATAAGTAAAAGTAAGTAAAGGACCCTTTTCCACACCTTTAGGCATATAGGGCTAGACCTATATTTTATAGACCAATGGCACAAGATGGTCAGCATCGCGCTGGCCGAATCTACTTCCCGGGACTGCACCCGGTACCCACTCAAGGCTGGGTCAACCTGGGAGCCACGGTCATTTTTGAAGAAAAGTCTGGCTCTGCCAGGGAGCGAACCCACGACCTGACGATCCGTGGCGGCGTCTAGCCGCTCTGCCACGGCAACTCCCGATCGTATAAATACCTTATTTCTGCTGTATGTAGTAATGACAAAACTAATAAGAATATGTGGACAGTAATAGAAATGGCCTTGTCTATAATAGGTTTTGTTGAAACACAAATCTACATTCACAAAAAGATTAAATGTTACAAGCCACTAGTAGCATATACTCCTGGATGAATGTTTACATTACCCGTCATTAATTTTATTTTTGTTTGCTGATCAAATCTTTTTTGCCTGTGCATTCAAATAAAGATGACATTCCAGACTTCATGTAATCCCTTTTCTTTAAGAATCTATGAAATTGACAGTTAAATACACAGAATGTTTAGTAAATAAGAATGTTGGGCACCTGCTATGGAAAAAAAAAGTAATGCTGGTGTTTGAAAGAAAATAAACAGATATTCAACCAGAGACAGTAGTGAAGCACAACATGTTGACCTGTTTTAGGCATATAAACCATCCTTCTATATGTACAGTGATTCTACAAGGGACAGGTGCAGTTGAGTATTTATGAGGATGACAAAGACAATCTTTAACAGAGGACACAATAACAGACAGATGACAATTTTCCTGAGGATGTGAAGACAATCTTTAACAGAGGACACAATAACAGACAGATGACAATTTTCCTGAGGATGTGAAGACAATCTTTAACAGAGGACACAATAATAGACAGATCACAATTGTCCTGAGGATGTGAAGACAATCTTTAACAGAGGACACAATAACAGACAGATGACAATTTTCCTGAGGATGTGAAGACAGTCTTTAACAGAGGACACAATAACAGACAGTTGTCCTCCATGTCTATACTTCAGTGCACAGAGGCAGCAGCAGGAGAGCTTGGATTGTGCTGGCCCTAGGTCTCATGTCCTGAGTTGTGGGTTGATGAAATCAGATAACAAGGGAATGTAGACTGACAATCTGATCTGGATTGTGCTGGCCCTAGGTCTCATGTCTTGAGTTGTGGGTTGATGAAATCAGATAACAAGAGAATGTAGACTGACAATCTGATCTGGATTGTGATGGCCCTAGGTCTCATGTCTTGAGTTGTGGGTTGATGAAATCAGATAACAAGAGAATGTAGACTGACAATCTGATCTGGATTGTGATGGCCCTAGGTCTCATGTCTTGAGTTGTGGGTTGATGAAATCAGATAACAAGGGAATGTAGACTGACAATCTGATGCAGTGCTCATCTAGATCAAGAGTTCAAGCTGCATCTCCTGGAAATGTCTTCTTCTGAATTTAAAATGGTGTCAGGTGGAACGTAACTAATTTGGAAACAAATACAATTTAGATGCTTTTTCTAATCTGTAAATTCTTTCTGTTCTCCAGATTGGTTTCAATGCTGAACATGCATGGTAAGTCTTAACATGACAAACTTTATCTCTGAGTACATTATGAAGACCATCAGGAAAATCTGTGGATGTAGTTATCTCAAGAATAAAATTAGGGTTCACTGAAACATGGAGGAGCAAAGGCTAAACAATTATTGCTAACATTATGTAGTAACATTTCCAGTAACATATCCAGTAACATATCCAGTAACATTATGTAGTAACATTTCCAGTTTCTCTCTCCCCTCACACAGATACACACACACACAAACCTGATGCATGTGTGTATAAATTAGGGCTGTACCGAATATTCGCTTCGTATTCGCTTTGGGGCCAAATAGTGGACCTATTGACTATTCGGTATTCAGTTGCGGTCGGGCGGAATGCGAATAGTAGTTACCTTACATCCGATTCTTCATTCACGGCCTTAATGCTGATGACAACATGGAACGATTGGTTTTGTTAAAGCTAATGCAGCTTTCCTGCATTAACTAAGCTGTCAGTGACAATCTCCAAGTTTAGTTACTTGTTATAATACTTATGATTCTTTCAATCCTAGTTCTTAGTTATCACAGACTGAATGAAGGATGCAGAACATAAAAATGTTTTTAAATGTTTACTATTCTGTACGAATACTAACTAGACATGGAAAGAATATAAACTTCGGCCACATACAAGTTGATAATATGAAAATCAAACAAACGGAAACATATAAGTACTTGGGTGCAAACTTCAACTGTTCCAACATGCTGACTGAAGAAATACAATCTAGAATACAATCTAGAAATAAAGTGTACTGTGCCCTTCAACATTGACTAAAGTCAAAGTGTCTGTCTCGCAACACCAAGATCAAAATATATAAAACGTTGAAAAGAATAGTTGTTGTATATGGCTGTGAAACTTGAAGCAGAAATAAAAGAGATGAGGCATTATTTCAGGTTTTCGAAAACAGTCTTACGACAAATCTTTGGACCCATCAAAGATGCTAACAGCGGGGAATGGAGAGTGAGAAGCAACAACGTAACACATAATCTGTTTAAACCACCATTGATCACTGGCATCATGAGAGCTAACAGATTAAAATGGTTGGGGCATATTGAAAGAATGTCAGATGACAGAGAAGTAAAAACTGTATACACCTGAGAGAGGAATGGGCGTAGACCATGAGGCAGACAAAAAAGAAGTTCGAGAGATAATGTTCAGCCAGACCTGCAAACAACTGGTGTCACAAATTGTGAAGATAAGGCCAGCCAGAGAGATGAATGGAGACGAGTGATATCTGCAGCAGTAAACCTCATAGGCTCAGAATGCTAAAGAAGAAGATGACTATTCTGTGCTACTTTATGTGAAGTAAAAGTTCAGCATACATTTTGACATTATGAATTTTCTTTTTTTTTAGATATATTTTATACATTATGCACTATTAGTATTCGTATTCGGCAGAATAGTTAGTCCGCTATTCGTATTCGGCCAAATAGTGAAAATCACTATTCGGTACAGCCCTAGTATAAATACACATTCACCAACACTCAAATAAAGGACTTTATGAACTTTACCTGACTTTTTTCACAAATGAGCTTGGCTCCTGGGTCGACCCAGCCAGGTAAAGTCGTGGAAAGTAAAGGCGGCTGGCATCATGTTGACCACATCACCCACCGAGTGCTGATTGGTCTAAAACATGTAGGTCTAGCCCTATATGCCTGGTATGCCTGAGGGTGTGGAAAAGGGTTCTTGATTTGACTGACTTTGACTTGATGTTTGTGCTGTCCATTATAGGACATTTATGTTTAGTGTGCAAAAAAGACAACACTTTGGGTGTTTGTGGCTGTTTGTTCACAAACTGTACAAATGAGAGACTCAAGTATAACTTAATAACATATGTCTGGTCTAGGCAGGTGATAATGACCTATCTGTGATACTAGCCTGACAACCTGATCTGGAAGTGAAGTCTGTGCCATCTTTTAAATCAAGATAGTAGACATTTTAGCTAATTTCTCATGGGAACATCAGTAAAGGTACTTTGGGATAGCTGCTCTATTGGAGAACTAAGCGATCATTGCAGGCCTTGTGTACATTGACATAGACTATGATATCATAACAAAATGTCATACATTTTACATGTTCACTTGAGTCAACACAATAATTGTGAGTGACAAGTTGAGTCAACATCTGACAACACAATAATTGTGAGTGACAAGTTGAGTCAACACCTGACATCACAATAAATGTGAGTGACAATTTGAGTCAACACATGACAACACAATAATTGTGAGTGACAAGTTGAGTCAACACCTGACATCACAATAATTGTGAGTGACAAGTTGAATCAACACCTGACATCACAATAATTGTGAGTGACAAGTTGAGTCAACACCTGACATCACAATAAATGTGAGTGACAAGTTGAGTCAACACATGACAACACAATAATTGTGAGTGACAAGTTGAGTCAACACCTGACATCACAATAAATGTGAGTGACAAGTTGAGTCAACACCTGACATCACAATAAATGTGAGTGACAAGTTGAGTCAACACATGACAACACAATAATTGTGAGTGACAAGTTGAGTCAACACCTGACATCACAATAATTGTGAGTGACAAGTTGAGTCAACACCTGACAACACAATAATTGTGAGTGACAAGTTGAGTCAACACCTGACATCACAATAATTTTTAGTGACAAGTTGAGTCAACACCTGACAACACAATAAATGTGAGTGACAAGTTGAGTCAACACATGACAACACAATAAATGTGAGTGACAAGTTGAGTCAACACCTGACAACACAATAATTGTGAGTGACAAGTTGAGTCAACACCTGACATCACAATAAATGTGAGTGACAAGTTGAGTCAACACCTGACATCACAATAAATGTGAGTGACAAGTTGAGTCAACACCTGACAACACAATAATTGTGAGTGACAAGTTGAGTCAACACCTGACATCACAATAAATGTGAGTGACAAGTTGAGTCAACACCTGACATTACAATAATTGTGAGTGACAAGTTGAGTCAACATCTGACATCACAGCACTTAGGGTTTTATTATCAGTTTTCTTTCCCAGTCTTCAGCAGTCAGCAGTTTCAATTCCAATGGTATCAGTCGCAATCTGATTGTATATTTGTGTAACTTTTACCCTGTTTTTGATGTTGGTCACTGCACACTGCACAATCCTCTTCGGACCATGATGATTTATTTGTGACTCCACACTGTTCACTCACTTCCAAAGTTCCTCGATAACAGCTAGCTTTTCATACATTTAAATTATGTGTGTACAAAAGTTTCACTAACTTGTCAGTTACTGACTAGTTTTGTTTATGTCATTTGAGAAGAAACTTGACACCTTGACATACCTGATGTTAAACAAATGTCCATTGACAGGGCAGACGCACCAGTGATGGCACAACTCTGGGAGTATATCCAGGTGGATGAGCTGATTCTTGGGTAATATTTTATTCTATTTTTACATAAAACTGATAAATTGTAAATATATATATATATGTAAATGGTACTAGATACATTGGAGGTACCATGAGAAAGAGAACAGCATCGTAGAACAATGAAGTCAAGGAAGACATGAAAATTAAGAAACAAACGATACAAGAAATGGCTAAGATCCTGCTCAGATGATGATTATGAGACATACCAGTTAGTAAGACAACAATCCATGAAGGTAATTAAAACAGCAAAGGATAAATCACGGATAATGTATGGGGAAAACCTGTAAGAACTCTGTGTTTAATCAGCCGACATTTTTATAAAGATATAGCAACAGTGAGAATGAGATACAATTCCTTTCAACCATGCGAATATGTAAATGATAGCTCAGGAACGCAAAAGTTCTTAAACAAGACAAAGTCCAGAAATGGACGAACAACCAGAACTTTCCATTGGAATTTACAACTAGTGAACGCAAAGAAGATTTCAGGCCTTAGCCTTCTGTCTTGTGTACTGAGAATCACTTCTGTTACAAATGTTCTCTTGTAACTTTATGCTACACTGTCCTGCATTCTCTATTTTAGTGTCTGTCTCTGTCAGCTCCCCCTCCAGCATCTAAGAGCACTACATACTCCAGTAAGCCTCATTTCATAATGTGCTCAATGGATGTTGATTTTTTTTCCCTGATTATTGGCACCAGATTTTGGGTCTTATAATGTGATACACAGACTGACTGTTTTGGTCTTAGCATGTTATTTGGTTCTGGTCATAGTTGGCTGTTGCACTTTTCCTCTTATTTGGATTGAAATTATACAGTTCCATTGCCCACCTACTACAATAGGTGCACGATGCAAACCTGTGATTTAATTTGGAATGCATTTTTGTTTTTTGTTTTTTTACCCACCAAGATTGTCTGCATTGTGAACTGCAGATTTAGAAACAGTGAGTGGCTTGTTGCCTCAAAACTGGTGGTGTCTTATTCAATATTACACATGAAACAACTGATTTGTTTTAACTGCTGCTTCCTTCAATGATTAGCTATAATTGTAGTGGCACACTGTTTGTATTGGCACTTCAGACAGTTGGCTTAAGAATTTACTGCAGCCTGTCCCAATTTCTTCACCAGGGACAGCGATGGATATTCTGTGTGGCTTCCACTGACACAGAAATGACAGAAATTATGGTGTGATCCCTTTACAATGAAGTTGGAATTGTGACTATATGGCACATGAAACAAAATATTTGCACTCATTAGAATATATATTTATTGGCTCTCTTCTGCAAGTGATTGCATGACATTGTTTTTCTGTGATTCAGATATGACAAAGATGGCCACTGCCGTGGCAACCCAGAGTGCCAACCTCCAGTTCCTGTCAGACTGGAATGGGAGATAAACAAACAAGTAAGTATGCATATTTACTGAGCGTAGCACAAGGCTGCAGGTTACGCATGGCTGGTGACCAAATGAGTTGAGTTGATTTAAGAAGAGAGGTCACAGCACTTAGGGCATTTCCATAAATGCTCCGTCCCCATCTTCAGCAGCCAACACAGAGTCCCAGAACCAATGGTGCCAGCAACAGTATGATTATAAGTCCATCTTGCCTTTCCTCTGAGTGTTGAGTATCAGCCAGATACACTCATCACTGCTCACTGCATCACTCTCACCAGACTGATGATCAGTTTTCTGTTCCAAACTGTACACATGCTTCTATATGGCCTTTACCATGTCTGCCTTATCGTTCATCAGCATTCCACCAAGTTGTGCAGAGCCTGCCTGTTCATTTCCCAACACACTGGCATACCCGGAGAAAAGAATCTAGACAATGCGTTTTACCCTTGTCCTCCGAAGCATGCCACTCTAAACAAAGCATACCTGTCCTCACCTTCCTCAGTATTCCTTCTGAGTCAGTTACATTCTCCATGTGTTTGTCCAAATGATAACTTCTTTAGAGGCTGAATAGGATATATGAAATGTGCCGTGATGGCCTGCCATCCAGACTAAGATGTTGTCATCTCAGGGTGGTCAAACCTTCAGGTAGCAGCCGGGAGAGGAGAACATGGGAGAAAGGAAGCAAGCATGTAATATTTAGACTTATATCACCACCTGCGTTGCCATCAAATTTGATGTTCTATCTTTGCAGTGTCAGCAGATCATCCAGTCAAGCCTGCAGGTGGCCAGGTCATTGCTAAATGATGTAGATCTTCATATCATGATGTTCCAGGAATTTGGCAAAGGTTTTATAAAAACCTGCAAAATCAGCCCTGATGCTTTCATCCAAATAGCACTTCAGCTTACATATTACAGAGTAAGTGTAGATCTGTAGTAAATGAATGCCAATGTGATTACAGTTATGATAGAGCTGACCAGTAGTCAACTGACTTGGCTGTTGAGTCTTTGTGTCTATCATTCTAAGAGAATATTCTTTGTTTCATGAGGTGTGGGAAAAAAGCATTTCTTGTAGCTTTTAAAAGAGCCAATCTTAATGTATGGAAATAAATCATGGATAGTCAGCTTGAAAACTGCAGAAATATTATTTTGTAGAAGCATGATAGGAATACCATGGGCAGATAAATAGCATAGTGAAAGTAAGTATGCTAGGAATACCATGGGCAGATAAATAGCATAGTGAAAGTAAGTATGATAGGAATACCATGGGCAGATAAATAGCATAGTGAAAGTAAGTATGCTAGGAATACCATGGGCAGATAAATAGCATAGTGAAAGTAAGTATGATAGGAATACCATGGGCAGATAAATAGCATAGTGAAAGTAAGCATGATAGGAATACCATGGGCAGATAAATAGCATAGTGAAAGTAAGTATGCTAGGAATACCATGGGCAGATAAATAGCATAGTGAAAGTATCTTGACAGAAACAAACTCACAGAGAGAATGATTACCTGCAACAGAAGGAGAAAACCCTTTATTGGACATGTCATGAGAAAGGAACAATGAAGCATGTCGTGACAACAGGAAGGTTGTAGGGGAAGAAACAATAGAGGAATGATCAACAGTTTGGCATGGCCAGACTTCAGAAATGATTAGCAGTTCACAAGATACAAGGTTGTGTACAGACTTATTATAAGGTTGTGTACAGACTTATTATAAGGTTGTGTACAGACTTATTCAATTGCTTTAACATTTTTATTATTAATAATTTGTTTTTCTCTCCTTTATCTATTTTATGAATGCAGGCTTTTTGTGACAGCTGTATTGATTTTTTATGGCCCATTTAAATAGTAAAATTGCTTATGAAATCAGTCTATGAAATGTTTACAGTGTAAAGGAGATAGAGTTTATTTCATTGCCCTGGATTGTAACCCATTTGCTCAGTCTATCTATGTAGAATAGTTAGCCACCTAATAAGGGTGTTGCTAAAATCATTGCTGAAAGGGCTATCTCTGAAATAAAATTGAAAATTCATGTGTGAACCACACACAAAAATCCATAACTTTTTGCTTGACTTTAACAACTTACCTCTGTTGCCTTGGAGAATCCTTACTTTAAATATGATCTGCATCTGCTGCTTCTCTCTCTCTCTCTCTCTCTCTCTCTCTATATATATATATATATATATATATATATATATATATATATATATATATATATATATATATATATATATATATATATATATATATATATATATATATATATATATATATAGGAAATAAAATTGCTCATCACTCTCCACAGCTGGAAAAACACTTTTGTCTGACATATGAGTCATCAATGACCCGCCTCTTCAGAGAGGGGAGGACAGAAACAGTGAGGTCTTGTACAGAACACACATGTCACTTTGTTAAAGCTATTGAGGATGGAAAACCGGTTAGTAAATCATTTGTAAATGTTTTCCTTGTAAAAAAAAAAAAATTACTAGAATTCTCATAGCTTCTTTTCATCATCACCCATTGATTATCAGTAACTATCTTTAGCTGATTTGTCATCTTCGAGCACATTACTTCACAGAGGACTACAGTATTTATTGCTAGATACTTTGTTCTGTAACTGTGGTACACACTGGGCACCAGTACTTTGTGCTGTAACTGTGCAAAGCACTGGGCACCAGTACTTTGTGCTGTAACTGCAACACACTGGGCACCAGTACTTTGTGCTGTATCTGGTACACACTGGGCAGGTTACCTTGTAAATGTAGGATTCCAAAATAACTGAAAAGTTTAAAGGATTTCTGTGAATTATTTGATTCTGTTGTACTTGCACCTAAACAGTGACTTACTGAGTCACAGGGTGTCTGTGTTTCTGGGTGTTGATCAGAAAAGGGAACTGCTAGCCATCAGGTTGATTTTCTTCTTCTTCTTCTTTTTCTTTGCGTTCGGCTTCGTATGTTCAGATCAGAACATTAGGTGGGTCCCTCTATGAACTCGCATGTCAGTAGCAGGTCCTTCAGGGTTCCCCATAACTTGCTCTGCACACTTTGCTTTTGAGGTCTGGTGTCTTTTCGAGGTTGTAGGTAGAGTGGGCAGGTCTGCAGAATGTGCTCAGGTGTGTGGGCCTGTTTGACAGGCACACTGTGGGGACTGTAAAATCTGTATTTTCTGCATGTGGTAGCTGAGCCTGCAGTGTCCTGTTAGTAGAAGGTTGATTTAAAATGAAAAATGAATAAAAACATAATCTGTATGTATATGGTATCAGCCACATATTCATATAAGCCACTCAGTTGGTGATGTGGTTAGCATCATGCCTGTTGCCTTTACTTCCCATAATATTTCATCGTTCCCATTCTTGGCTGGATGAACCTTAAAAAATGTTTGTGTTAAATCCCACTTTGACGGGGATTCAGTAACTTGGCCCCTGGGGAGGCAGCAAGCATGCTGGCTGCTGCACCACTGGGGCTGTTCGCTCAAACATAATCAAGTAATTTCTTGTCTGTCTCTACCTAATGACACTAGAGATGTTTTAAAATAAGAGGTCTTTACATAATTGCTAAATAAAGTTTGGTTGTAGTAATGATTCTCCACCCAAGTAAAACATAAATGGGCTTTCATTTCTGTTATGTATATCCTGGGCGTCCTGTGAGCGGCCAGATAAATGATGTATTTTACTTGTTGATCTGATTGGCTGGCAACATTGCGTATAATCTTGTCTTCTTGGACTTGAAGTATGATGTGAATTTACTTCAGTTGTCACTGAAAAAAGTTGCACAGATGCCATTTATACATTGAGACAACTATCAGAGAGGGCAATAGAACATGATAAGACATGTTTGTTAATATTCATAGACCAAGAAAAAGCCTTCAATAGAGTCGACAGGAATTTGTTGTGGGAATGTATGGGGGGAAAAAAGGAATCAGCAATCATCTCATTAATATTTGCAAAAGCCTGTACACAAGTAGTAAATGCTGCATATGATCGAAGGCAGGGTTGTCAAGAACTTTTATAGTGAACTCTGGTGTGCGTCAGGGCTGTGTACTATCGCCGCTTCTTTTTATAACATACATGGACGCCATATGTAGCGAAACAGACTTTAATCAGGGAGAAGATATAACAGAATTACTTTTCGCCGACGACCAGGTACTCATAGCAGAAAATATGGAATGCCTACAGAACCACCTAAATCAAATTAGTAACAAAGGGGAGGAATATAATATGAAAATAAACACTACGAAGACAGAGACAATGATGATAGGAAGACATAAAGACAATTTAGAAATTAAATTAAAAAACAATACCCTGAGACAAAAAGAGGAATTTAAGTATTTGGGAGCGATTTTTACATCTGACGGAAAACTGGACAGAGAAATTAGCTCTAGATGTGCCAAAGCTAATCAAGTAATGGGTCAACTATCTCCCCTGTTGACACACAAGCAGATACCTCGGAGTACTAAAGTGAATCTTATCAAAACTATTTTTTGGCCAACACTATGCTATCAATGCCAAACGTAGACACTTACATCCTCCAATGAACGTAAAATTGTGACAACAGAGATGAAATGCCTTAGAAGAGCTGCTGGAGTTTCAAGGAAAGACAGAATACGAAATCATGAAATCAGACGAATGCTAGGAATAAAACCAGTCTTACAGGTCATCAAAGAGCCACAAATAAAGTGGTTTGGACACCTAACAAGAATGCCCTGGTACTATCTTCCACAGTGAACCACACTAAAACGTTACAACGGGTATAAAGCGAGTGGAAGACCTCGGAAAATATAGAGTGATAGCATTAAGAACAGCCTTACAGAAATAAACATCAGTCTTAATAGTGCTCTTGACAGAGCCCATCAACGAACATTACATCTCCCCCTGACACTTCGATGAGGTACAAGGTGGAAGAGAAGAAGAAGAAGTCACTGAAAAATTCTAACAATTCTGGAACCACAGGACGTACGTAGGCTGCAGTCTCTCGTGGGACGTCTTCTTAGGGTGTGGGTGAAGGGGGTTGGGGTTAGGACCAGTTTTAGATCTTCTGGGGTCATTAAAAGCAGTCACATAGAGCACATGTCATTACCTAACATCCCTGTAACGGAAAGTTGCATGTATGAAGGGTCAGCAACATGAATGAATGACTAATTACGATGTGCCTGTGCCAGGAATTGTTACTAGAACCTAAAGTTGATACATTTTTAGCATTTTGGTACCGCATTCTTAAAATTCAATATCAAAATTTAGAAATTATTATATCAATAGAGGATGATAAACACTTATTTGGTTTGATCATTGTTGTCTCACCAGAAGGAGGAGTGCATACAGTTGTTGAGGAAGGCAGCAGACTATCACCAAGGTCTGTACAGAGACTCCATGACAGGCAAAGGAGTCGACAGGCATCTCTTCTGTCTCTATGTGGTCTCAAAGTATCTTGGAGTTGACTCCCCTTTTCTGGCTAAGGCCCTCAGTGAACCATGGAAACTTTCAACAAGCCAAGTAAGACGATCACCTTCAGTCTGGTCATCAAAATCATTTCAGCAGCAGTAACTAGTTTTAAAAGTACCATAGGGTCATGGAGGTGAATAGATGGAAGTACTATCACATAAAACCAGCCATCATTCTCTCTCTCCCGCTTGATGAATAAGTGTATGATAACTTAGTCCTGTCTATTTGTTATGTAGTCATTCAAGATTCTTCTTTGCCCTCCTCTTCCTCGACTACACCTCAATGTTCCTTGAAGCAGTCTTTGCAATTGAATCAGGTCTCACCATGTGCCCAAACCAAGCCAGTGTGCGACATGTTACCACTGCTAAGAAAGGCTCCGGATGTCCTGCAAATTTAAATATTTTGTCTCTGACATATTTATTAGTTTTGTGTTCTAAATTACTAATTCATAAAACGCATCTTAACATTTACTTTCAAAAGCCTGAATCCTTCTTTCCATTCCCACAGTGAGAGTACAATAATAACAAGCTTTCAACACTAGTCATTTATTTTTTTTTAGTCAGTAGCTGTTAACACTACAACCATCTCAGCTGTAGTCACTGGTTGGTAGCTATACAGTTATCTAAGGAACAGATACTAACTGTTAAACATCATAGTCATCTCAACTATAATTACTGGCTGTTAACACTATAAACATTTCACATGCAGTCACTAAATGTTAACACTATAATCATTTCAGATGCAGTCACTAAATGTTAACACTACAGTTTTCCTAGCTATAATCACAAACTTAGAGAGCAGACACCCTGGCTGATGGCTGGAATTAGCCATCTGTGGACAGGAGAGACATCATCAATGCCATACCAGAGACTAAACGCTGTCAGGCTTTGTTTCATATGAAAATGACTTTTCCACTGAAAAGACTGCAAACCCTGGGTGTACAAATTGGAGCATTGAAACAGGAAAACCATGCGGGAGTGAGAACAGAATCATCCAGAACACAGTGGGAGTTGTTATCCTAAGATCACATGAAGACATACTCAGGAGGAGATTGGAGCGCTTATGGTCATGTCCGACGTGCGATGAAGATGATCTTTAAATGAACACTGAACAAGCTGTTAACACTACATAAATCTCAGCTGCTGGCTGTCAACAAATGATCAAGCCAACATGAGGCATGCTCTTATAGAGTCTGCTTCAGCTGAAGACTGTCTAATAAACCAGCCCTCTTACTGGAATGCAGATTTTATGAATGGAGATTCAATGTTTGCAACTTCTCAAGCTCAAAAAATGGCATCAGAAACATCGTAGGAACAAGTCTAGTTCATTCTTTCATTCCTCCATTCTGTGATGTCATGGAGTCACTAGCCAGGTTTCTGTAAGTTAGGCATTGAAGAAATCATGCTCACAATTTAGGATTCGATCAATTCAGTATTTATTCTCTCCACACACATCAACCTCCAGTGTTCTCTCCACACACATCAACCTCCAGTGTTCTCTCCACACACATCAACCTCCAGTATTCTCTCCACACACATCAACCTCTAGTGTTCTCTCCACACACATCAACCTCCAGTGTTCTCTCCACACACATCAACCTCCAGTGTTCTCTCCACACACATCAACCTCCAGTGTTCTCTCCACACACATCAACCTCCAGTGTTCTCTCCACACACATCAACCTCCAGTGAGACCAGATCAAAACAAGATTAAACTAGCTCATTTTCTCATGGCTTCAATAGCTTCTTTCTTCTCTTCTAGAAAATTCTCACGGGAACCATGCCTTGTCGGTTTCTCACAACTCTGGGCCAAATACACGCTTGCCTCATAGAGTTCATGTTTGCTTCAACTGGACACTAACTGTTCCACACATACATGTATTCTTCAGACCACCCATTCAGCATAGTTTATGACAAGGAGACAAAAGGTGATAATGACCCATTACAATGTGTTGCAACACTTTGGTCATGTGAGAAGGCTCATCAATTAAAACTGAACGACACAATAATTTTACTCTGATGAATTAATAATAATAATTGAGGGATTCTGAGACATAATAAAATGATTTTATTCTGAAATCAATGGAACTGTTTCTGAGATTAGGTTCAAAATGTTTCATATTTTATTATAGAACATTTGTTTGCAACTAGTTTGTTTATTTTTCACCTAGACACCGCACGGACAGGCAGAAAGAATGGATCTTCTCAAGCATCCAGAACGTATCAATGGTGGAGGTGGTTTTGGTCCAGTAAGTCACCTGCCTGTACTTGTTGCCAGCATTGCTTCAATAATTCAGAATCAGAATTTCTTTGACATATCTTTAAAAAGTCATGAACTTTTGGGTAAAATGCTCCTGTAAAGGAAACCTCGTGTTGGTCACATTTTCATGTTTCCAGCAGAAGTGCTATCTCTGTGTGTTTTCATTGGCTGGTCAAGTTAGTAATTTATTTTCCATGTTGTAACAGACTACACATGTCATAACATACACAGTCAATTAAGTTCAGATTCTGATACTTAAAACAAATGAAGGGTAGGATGCAGGGCTTTTGTTTCTCTGGTGGTATGAAATGGTACTTTGTATCGACATCTTTTGGCATTGATTTCTTTAGCAAAACTGAGCAGATGCTTTGTACTCAGTACTGCCATTTTCTGTTTAAGACACTGTTGTGAGTACCAGCAGGTTTTTGTGTCTAGAAGAAAAGCCCAGGTGTGATGCCTTTATACGTACTAGATGATGCCATAATAAGATCAGCCACACATTCCTTCCTTGCCACCATGAACATGATCGGACAATGATCCAGCACCTGACTTTATAAGCAAGGCTCCATTGTCGTACTGGTTAGGGCAGTTAGCTTTCCACACTGAGACCACTGTGCTGGTGGCTAGTGTACTTACACTTTACCACCACAGATTCCCTCGCATAATTAGAATATTTAAAAATAATCTTTGGGGGGAAAAAATAGTTTACTGACAAGACATAAAAACTGACATCTTCAGCTCTTGTCAAACCAAAGAGTACACTAGACATAAATACTGACATCTTCAGCTCTTGTCAAACCAAAGAGTACACTAGGCATAAATACTGACATCTTCAGCTCTTGTCAAACCAAAGAGTACACAAGACATAAATACTGACATCTTCAGCTCTTGTCAAACCAAAGAGTACACAAGACATAAATACTGACATCTTCAGCTCTTGTCAAACAAAAGAGTACACAAGACATAAAAACTGACATCTTCAGCTCTTGTAAAACCAAAGAGTACACTAGACATAAATACTGACATCTTCAGATCTTGTCAAACCAAAGAGTACACTATTATGTCTGCTGCTTTCAGGTGACTGATGATGGCTATGGAGTCTCCTACATCATTGCTGGAGAGGACACTATCTTCTTCCACATATCATCTAAAACATCCTGCTTACAGACGGTAAGGTCATCACGTTGTTCTTTGTTTATCATCATTTAATTAGTTTTCTTGATTGTCTTGCATACATTTGAACAAAGAAGACACAAACAATAGATTCCACAATTTATTTCCTGGCACAATTTCTTTCCTGGCATATGTTGCTGTATCTCATCAGGTGCATAAACAGTCAAAAATACATGAAATCTTCAAACTCAACATGGCATCAGTAGATGTAAAATCGCTGTTTACAAACGTACCCTTGAAAGAAACTGTGAAAACTATATGTGACCGTATAGAAAACAAAAAGCTGCACGTGAAATGGGTTTATCCACTGACAGCACATCCACTTGGACAGTCAGCACATCCACTTGGACAGTTTTGCACCCAATCAATACAAGTGTGGCCTAGTGCGCACGTTATTCAATCGTGCAAGGAAGATTTTTTCCAGCGACAAGCTACATGCATAATTTGAAACAGACACTGCTTTCCAGCGACAAGCTACAGGCATAATTTGAAACAGACACTGCTTTCCAGCGAATATCCAGGTGGCTATTTTAAGTGTCATTGCCAGCCGAAACCAATTGCCATAGAAATGCAGGTACCGAAATAACAAGTTTATATGCATCTAACTTTTTGTGATCATGTTATGCAATGTTTATATGACTGACTCAAAACAGCAGTCAGTCAAACATTTTACGCAGCCCAACCTGTTATCAGATTTAACACCACAGTAATGTCTTCGCCACCAGTGAAGTATTTACCATTTTAAATGCACCTGTAATGCTGCATATGTGGGCAGAATGGATCAACGACTGGAGAAACGGGTTGCGGAACATATGGGTGGTAAAAACAATGCAGAACATCAACAACAACTCAGCAACAGTGAATCAGTTGACTGGTCGTAAATATCCACCATCCGCATTAGCGTGCCATTTTCTTAATTCTGGGCACATTGTAAACAAGGACGATGCATTTCAAATTATTTACACTTCGGCTAACTGTAGATTACTGCGATATGCAGAAACATCATTGATCAGCCAATTTAATCCATAATTATGCCAACAGAAGAAAATGCTTGTCACTTTGCAATTATCTTAGTGAGAAAATGTGTGAGTGTAGTCGATTTTGTTTCACTTTAAAGGTTTTATTTATTTGCTTCATTGTAATCAATAAACTCTAGAATGCACCTTACAAGATCCAGCAAAATATGCCAGGCAATTAATTGTACAATCTATTGTTTGTATCTGCTTTGTTCAAATTCACAACAGGGAAACATTGTTCTGCATACATTTATGGATATGCATTATTGACTGTTGATACTTTAGTGTTTTGGTAAGTGTGGGCTGCAGTCATTAGAAATTGTTTAAGGATAATACAATTCACACTCACATGCATACATGTTTTGGGATTCTTAGTGGCTAAGTGGTTGAGCTGTCTGCCTTGTGGTCTGAAAGTCATGGGGACATTTCACTATTTGTGTTGATTGATTCACAAGTGCAGTCTTTCCAGAGATCCATGAGGATTGTTGGTAGACCCAGGGATTGTGCAATACTCTCAACAGATTCTGTGCAGAGAGACTAGGCCATTTTGAATCAAATGTGGTGTCATTAACTCAGCTTTAAGCCTGTTTGAAACATTTAGTGTTTTGTCCTTGGTGTATATGAACCCTAATGTTCCATGTTCTCCTATTTACAGGATTCCCACAAGTTTGGAGCCACCCTGAAGACTGCATTGTGTGATATGAAAGATCTGTATAATAGATAAAATATGCCACTAATTGATAACTGGTGAACCTGATATGTGATAAAGCAGGGATGGGGAACTCTTGTTTTGTCAAGAGTCATTAGAACATTTATAACATTATTAATTATTAACCAAAAGGTACTGATATCGTAGCTTAGCTATAAACCACAATACAATATACCAGTACCCTTTCAAGGGCAAGCACAGAAAAGAAAGAAGAAGAAGGATGACATCATTCAGGAGTCACACATATTTATCAAGTTAAAAATTGCTTGCTATATTTGTTCAAATATTTAACAGCGGTTGTCTTAGGGACAGACCAGGAGATTCTGAGAGCTGCATGAGGAGCAAGGGGTGGGCTGGGCATGATAGTTGTTGGTCATGGTCTTGAGTTGCCCCGGTGGTCAGCAGAGGATCACACAGTAGTGACCATGGCTACAGTCACCTGACCAGTATGGTTGCTGGCAAGAAAGAAATGGTCAACTGCCTTCTTCCACCTGCCAACAATAGTCAGCATTTCACAACTTTTCAGAAAAGAAGATCATGGATGGATAGAAGAATGTCATGGAGTGATAGAAGAAGATCATGGAGTGATAGAAGAAGATCATGGAGTGATAGAAGAAGATCATGGAGTGATAGAAGAAGATCATGGAGTGATAGAAGAAGATCATCATGGAGTGATAGAAGAAGATCATCATGGAGTGATAGAAGAAGATCATCATGGAGTGATAGAAGAAGATCATCATGGAGTAATAGAAGAAGATCATCATGGAGTGATAGAAGAAGATCATCATGGAGTGATAGAAGGAGATCATCATGGAGTGATAGAAGGAGATCATGGAGTGATAGAAGAAGATCATGGAGTGATAGAAGAAGATCATGGAGTGATAGAAGAAGATCATGGAGTGATAGAAGAAGATCATCATGGAGTGATAGAAGAAGATCATCATGGAGTGATAGACGAAGATCATCATGGAGTGATAGAAGAAGATCATCATGGAGTGATAGAAGAAGATCATCATGGAGTGATAGAAGAAGATCATCATGGAGTGATAGAAGAAGATCATCATGGAGTGATAGAAGAAGATCATCATGGAGTGATAGAAGAAGATCATCATGGAGTGATAGAAGAAGATCATCATGGAGTGATAGACGAAGATCATCATGGAGTGATAGACGAAGATCATCATGGAGTGATAGACGAAGATCATCATGGAGTGATAGACGAAGATCATCATGGAGTGATAGAAGATCATCATGGAGTGATAGAAGAAGATCATCATGGAGTGATAGAAGAAGATCATCATGGAGTGATAGAAGAAGATCATGGAGTGAAAGAAAAACAAATGAGGCAGTCCTTCTTGAGACAGATGAAAGTCATAAACAGTCTGTGTTTTTGAGACATGTTGTGAGAAGGAGTGGACTGAAGAACTTGGTAACATTAATGGAAAAAGAGGAAGAGGATGGCAGAGAGATAAATATGTGAATTACTTAGCCATATGGATGGGGCAAGACAAAAACAATGACTTTATTTTGGATTGTGGTGATTAAATGAGATGGCAGAAAATGACAGCCTACACATATCCGCATGATAATGATGATAAAGACACAGACCAGATGTTCCCCACTCCTGGGATAGTCTGTTTGTTGTGATATAACCCAAAACATGTTTCTTCAGATTTGTGTCACCATCATAGTTTTAACTCATCTTGTTTTGTTAAGTCTTTCAGGGAATAAATTGTAAATAGTAAGTGAAATATGAATGGCTATGTATTAAATAGTAATGAAAATATAAATGGCTATGTTTAAATCGCTTTAATCTGTTTTTGCGTTATACAGTTGTTATAATGAAAGGTTTGTACATTTAAGAGTAAATAGTAAGTGAAATATGAATGGCTATACCACTTTAAACTGACATTGCATGTATATAGTTGTTATAAATAAAAATTATGTGCATGTGAGAGTTTCATGAAACTTGAAATAGATTTTGTTTGCATGGAATAACCCTGTATGTAAAGGAAGTGACATAGTTGTTGGTGCTGTTGCTATGTGAAGTGACATAGTTGTTGGTGCTGTTGCTATGTGAAGTGACATAGTTGTTGGTGCTGTTGCTATGTGAAGTGGCATAGTTGTTAGTGCTGTTGCTATGTGAAGTGGCATAGTTGTTAGTGCTGTTGCTATGTGAAGTGTCATAGTTGTTGGTGCTGTTGCTATGTGAAGTGTCATAGTTGTTAGTGCTGTTGCTATGTGAAGTGGCATAGTTGTTAGTGCTGTTGCTATGTGAAGTGTCATAGTTGTTAGTGCTGTTGCTATGTGAAGTGTCATAGTTGTTGGTGCTGTTGCTATGTGAAGTGGCATAGTTGTTAGTGCTGTTGCTATGTGAAGTGGCATAGTTGTTAGTGCTGTTGCTATGTGAAGTGTCATAGTTGTTGGTGCTGTTGCTATGTGAAGTGGCATAGTTGTTAGTGCTGTTGCTATGTGAAGTGGCATAGTTGTTAGTGCTGTTGCTATGTGAAGTGGCATAGTTGTTAGTGCTGTTGCTATGTGAAGTGTCATAGTTGTTGGTGCTGTTTCTATGTGAAGTGTCATAGTTGTTAGTGCTGTTGCTATGTGAAGTGGCATAGTTGTTAGTGCTGTTGCTATGTGAAGTGTCATAGTTGTTAGTGCTGTTGCTATGTGAAGTGTCATAGTTGTTGGTGCTGTTGCTATGTGAAGTGGCATAGTTGTTAGTGCTGTTGCTATGTGAAGTGGCATAGTTGTTAGTGCTGTTGCTATGTGAAGTGTCATAGTTGTTGGTGCTGTTGCTATGTGAAGTGTCATAGTTGTTAGTGCTGTTGCTATGTGAAGTGGCATAGTTGTTAGTGCTGTTGCTATGTGAAGTGTCATAGTTGTTAGTGCTGTTGCTATGTGAAGTGGCAGTCCTCATGTATTCTAGTCTAGTGCATGGTAGAGTGGCCAGATCCTTCTCACCTTGCATTTCCAAGGAATATTCCAGAAAGTTGTCTGCTACCTGTTTTTATAAAGCTATTTCAACCCCAGAGCTCAACTAATTGGTAAACAAAATCCTCCCTCTGATACAGATTGAATCTAGACCCTTTTTTTTTTCACAGACAGCTATACTAATTCTGAAAATGTCAAGAAACTCTGAGGTAAAATGTCAGTGAGAATGACACATCGAAAAGGTTGTTAGAAATTTCATGTAAAGCTGAATGAATATAATAAACTGTGTATGAGAATTGCCTTTTTCTGCTTCGTTAATAAATGGACTTGTATAAATATCTAAATCTGATGCTTTTGTTCTCAAGCACTGACTTCATAGAGCCAGTGTCTGCCCACAAACACATATCAGCCATGGCAACATGTATTCTAGCAGTTTGTTTGTATTTTGTTGTAGTTGATTGATTGGTTATGTTTTCACATTTTTAAGTGTCTTGTTATCCACATTCTATTTGAAATAACTGTTTGTGTTACTGAAACTAATTTGGTTGAGACACAAAGTTTTTCCAAAGTTTATTGACATTAAAACCCTAGCACACTGTTAATGTTTATCATCAATCTTGTCAGTGTGAAAACACATGATGTAGTCCTCTGAGTATGCCACACCACTGTATCATATTCTATCATAATCTTTTCTGTACATCAGATCTGAACTTCATATTCCAAACTAAACTAACACCCTGCCCTGACCCCTTCCCGCTCCCATCCTTTCCCCTTCCTGCTCCCACCCTTCCCTCCCCCCCCCCCTTTCCCGCTCAAATCCTTTCTTTTCCTTCATATTGTCTCTAAATTAAATTCCAAAGCAGATCTTTATATATCCTATTGAGAGCAAAGCAAGGCAGCCTACTTATGTATTTCTCAAATTATCATTTCCATTTGCCTGATCAGAAAGTGTAGACATTCATATCACTTCACAAATCTCATTCCTTGGTGTTCTGAATCTGTTGATGATATTCCTTCAACCCACTGTCTTCGATCTTGCAGCTTCATTTCTCTTAGTCTGCCTGTATTTTCTTCCTTTTCATTTTCTGTTTGACTTTAACAGGGTGGCTGGTACATTATGCTAGTGTTTATGCCTAGCCTGCAATATCTGCACATGTCAGCCCAACACATCCCATTCCAGCAAATCCTTCATTAGTCACCATTTACTGCATGCTTAACTGGCAATTGATCTGTTTTTGTGTGTGGTTTGTTTGGCCCTACAAATCGTGCCCATGAACCCACATGAGGGGCTTTTTTTTCTGTGGCTGATTTTGTTTGCGGTCTCATTGTTCATCAACGATAATCATTGTTAGTTACTCTGGCTGTTCAAGGAAATTACAACATTTACTCTCAGTCATCACTCATTGTTCATCAACGATAATCATTGTTAGTTACTCTGGCTGTTCAAGGAAATTACAACATTTACTCTGTCATCACTCATTGTTCATCAACAATAATCATTGTTAGTTACTCTGGCTGTTCAAGGAAATTACAACATTTACTCTGTCATCACTCATTGTTCATCAACGATAATCATTGTTAGTTACTCTGGCTGTTCAAGGAAATTACAACATTTACTCTGTCATCACTCATTGTTCATCAACGATAATCATTGTTAGTTACTCTGGCTGTTCAAGGAAATTACAACATTTACTCTGTCCACACATAAATTTATTGCTTAGTATTGCGGGAACATTATTTACAAAAGATAATAAATGTTGAGAAATCTATCAAATAAGATTTCCAAATGGCAGATGCTTGCAGTGTGAGACAATCATCTTTTATTTCAAATAATACAATGCAAGAAAACAGTAACATGTGTTGACTACAATATTTCCACTATCTTGCAGGATTTATCTCTTTAGACAAAGCCTATCAACTTTCTAGACAAAGCAGTGGAAAGCAAGGCAAAACCACCATTGTATATTCGTGTATATTCAACAAGTGAATCAGTGCAACTATATTGTAACATATTAACAAGGTTAAAAATAATTTTTTTAAATTTCAGTGAGAAAATGAATGTGCTCCCATGTTCTAGAAAA